CCTGTGTGTGTGTAACACGTGGTACACTTGTCAAGACTTGCAATGTTTCCGTTAAGCTGTTGTTTCTCATTACATCATAAGTATACGAATATGCGGGGGCGATTCACTCGTCGATCGGATCACATGGGACACTCTAGGGGTCTTGTTCGTTTCTGGCCTCGTTTATTATATACACAGACATCATCGATGGCTTTCCATAAGTTCTGAATTATCTTGGTACATAGGTACTACTGCCAGCGGAATCACCTTCAAGCGCACCCCTGACGCATCGTTTGATGTGGTGAAAGGCTTCGACTACGAACCCAAGTACGTCGACATAGATGGCTTGCGTATGGCCTACTATGACGAGGGCAAGGGCGAGTCGGGACATACCGTTCTCCTCATGCACGGTGAACCTACCTGGAGGTGTGTGTCGAGCGACTTTGTACTTTCAATATTGGACTGAATATAAAATGGTTCTAGCAATTGATATTCGATAATCGACGTGCTTGTGCATGGTGTAGCGTATATAACTAGTTATATGTAAGGTACAAGAGTAATTGATTATACATACGGATGTGTTGCGCAACTGTTCCATGTCCCTCAAAGGCCGACGAATGTTTTATCATTATGTGAGGCATTGTGTATCTGAGATGTTACCAAATGGACATACGCAACTCACCACAAGCAAAACTGTTCGTCGATGATACGATACTTCGTTGCATGAGCACTCAAAAAAAAAATTTACATCCTCCTTTTGCCCTTTTCTATGCAGTTATCTGTACAAAGACATGATCCCTCCTCTTCTAGAGGCAGGACACCGAGTCGTTGCACCTGACTTGATTGGTTTTGGACGTTCGGACAAACCCACAGAGCGCAGCTCCTACACATACGAATTACACGTGAAATGGGTGAAGATGTTCCTAGAGCATATGAAGTTGCTCAACTTGACTGTCTTCTGCCAAGACTGGGGAGGTTTAATTACGCTGAGGATAGCCGGAGATGAGCCTGATCGTTACGAGAGAATCGGTGAGTGTTTTATATTATACATTTGCCTGCAGTAGAACGTGCTCGGTGGCATATATACTCTCAGGCACTTTCTGGTGTGCTAGACGGGCGTATGTTAATTAGGCAATGGGCTTGATATATTCTACTTACCGTGGATCGACGGTATAGGAGTGATAGGCAGTATGGAACATATGTAGGTATACTGGATTATATACTGGATTATACACTATATTATATTCTGGATTATACACTAGATTATTTTCTAGATTATACACTAGGTTATATTCTGGATTATATACTGGATTATACACTATATTATATTCTGGATTATACACTAGATTATTTTCTGGATTATACACTAGGTTATATTCTGGATTATATACTGGATTGACGGATATGGGCAATATGGTGTATGTAATCTATGTCAGTGTATTCAAGATAGGCAGTATGGTATCCATGTTTGCCAAGTGTTCTATCTGTTCAAATTGGACGTATCGGTTTCGATTTGTTATAAACTACAGAGATATCGGTATATATATATATTATATACTATATACTATATACATACTATATATTATATTATATATATATATATATATATATATATATAGTTCATGTATGTACACATGTACACATATATTCATTTCAATCATGTACTGTCTATACCACGCCATGAACAATACATCGACAGTGTTCCTATTGCTTATTCGTCTCCCGCTGCAAATACTGACTCGAGCAGTCAAGCGTCCCAAAACAATTCAGACGTATGCTTCAAATTCCTCAACCATTCTCCTATCGGCCTATCACCAATTACAGTCGTCTCTAACACCGGGCTGCCGGTTGGTACAAGCCCTGGCCCTGCTTTCGAGAAGTGGCAGCAAACCTCACAGACAACCCCGGTTTTGGACTGTGGTAAGCTTGTAGCGTCTACAGCGGTTAACCGCAAGTTGGAGGAAAGCGATGTGGCCGCGTTCAATGCGCCGTTCCCAGATAACGATGAGAGCTATTTGGCGGTACGTGAGTGCGATGTTTGCTAAGCACGTCTGGGTTTGGTTCGGTTTGGTTAGGTTTGGTGTGTGGGAGTCTGCGCATGTAATGTGGGCTGGGATTGGCTACAGTACTCGGCGAGGGATGTTATATTGGTTCAAAAAAAAATATGTGGCCTCTCAGGACAACGCCGGTTGTGCACCAATTGCAATTATCAACATAGATGATAGCTCAGATTCGTTGTTGAACTCAGTAGTATGCCCTGCTAACTGCTTACCGTTTTGTATTCAGGGTGCGAGAATATTCCCTATGCTTGTACCCATTTCGCCCGACCATCCATCGGTGCCCAAGAACATTGCCGCCTGGAAGGGCCTCGCAGCACGCGAGAAACCGTTGCTGTCGCTGTGGTAAGTCCTTCTGCTGTGTGTGGTGTGGCATCGCGTTTGAACTGATGTGGCACCTGGAGTGTGCAAGGCTTTTCAGCTGAGGAGGGTAGCTACGCAGAGATTTGAAACCACGATGCCTAGTAGAAGGAATACGTTAACTCGTGTTAATACTGGGTATACTTGAACAACACACGTTCGTGTTGCGTAAGAGGTTCTATTCACCTTGATCGCCTATGCAATTTAGCAAGAGCGACCTGGCTGGGCAAGAGTGTTTGTTACGTTTGAGCATTATCTACGCCATTGTGTATAAGCTCCGTAGTCGTCGATAATGCCTACCAACACATTTTTATCCAAGGAGAGTATACTATGTGCTTTGACTCTCGCACAATCACCAAACCCTAAACCCTAGTACAACTTGTACCTTGTAAACTATAGGGGAATGGGAGACCCCCTATTAGGCCCCGCCGAACCCGTATTGAGGAGTAAGGTCCCTGGTGCAAAGGATCAACCCCATCAGACCTTCTCTGGCGGCCATTTCATGCAATTCGAGCACGGACCCGAGCTAGCCAAGGCAATCAATGATTGGCTGAAATAGGATGTGTTTCAAGACGAACATCTAAAAAACTATGAAATTAACGTATGTACATAGTCGAGATGTCAACATCTATGGAATAAATATAATGTGAAGCATACGTATGATATACTGAATGCGGATTATCTACATAGTTTATTTGGAATGAAGGTTATCTGCATATCATGCCCTGATTGAAAGTTGTCTACTACCATCCTATGTGAAGGCTATCTATATATCATAACATAGGTAGGACCAATTAACGCATGCTACAGCACAGGCGTATTTGTAGTATTCAACCATGTGCTAGTTGACTATGGACTTAGTTTATATATTACCTAGTTTATATATATATATATATATATATAATATAATATAATATATATATTTAAATATATTGATATATATATAGTATCTATATATGTATATAAATATATATACCACTCTATTGAACCTTGAAGTTTATAGTTCAGTTATATAGGAAGGAAGGATCATATTTGTTGCTTAGTTGCATAAGCAAAACCTTCAGGTTTATTATCTAATTATATAGGAAGTGGGCGTCCATCGTTCCAGGGTATACGCCTAACTCCTCCTCCATTGTAGTACAAAGTCGATCAACGCGTTTGACAACGGCCTCAAGAGCCTCGTCGTCCTGTGAATCGGAATTGTGACATTCTGAGACTTGATCTTTTCAAAAATAAACACGATAAGCTGTTGAATTGGGGAGACTATGCTATAAGCGACATAAACTCTGCGGACATGTTGTAAACTCTGATGGCGAGTTTACCATCGGGACGTAACGTATTCCAGAGTACAGAGCAGGCACATGGCGTGTGAACAACTCCAGTAAGCTCATGGCCTTTAACATTCCGGTATTGGTTTCGTGCTTCCTTATGTGTTTGGGCGAACGGGATGTTACACCCATGTGTTTTCTGTGCGAACTGTTTACAACACCCATACTATACTTATATATATATATATATATCTCGCCAGTTATATCACTTTCAAAGGCTCCGATATACACTGATGCGCGTCTCTATACGACAACGTCGCACTCCTCTCAACAATTCAAATGCCTAGCGACGCCTCACTGTTCTTGCATATGTATTAACATTGCAACTCTCCCGATAATCACATTCGTATACTTGTGCTATATTTGTCTCCAGTAACCTCTTGCCCCGTATCTCCTCAGCCTCCATACGCTTACTACACATGGTGCACCCACTTTGTTGTATCACTCCGCCGACATATATAAATAATCTATGTATGTATATATGTATGTACGTAGGCATGTTATTCCGTTATATTTGTCTCCAGTTATATATTGCCCCGCATCTCCTCAACCTCCAAATGCTTATTACACATGGTGCATCCACCTTGTATCTAACCATGTGTATCACTCCGCCGATACATATATATATATATATGTGTATATATATATATATATATATATGTATGTATGTATGTATGTATGTATATATGTATGTATATATGTATGTATGTATGCATGTTATTCCGTTATATTGATCTCTAGTTACCTATCGCCCCGTATCTCCTTAACCTCCGCAGGCCTACTACACCAGGTACACCCACCTTATATCGATCCATGTGTATCACTCCGCCGACTTCCCGTTGAAGTGTTGTGGCGGTCTTAACTAGTAACTGTACTACTTCTCTGGGCGCCACATTGTGTGGTAGGTAGAATCCCATCTTGATAGAATCGCGTTTGTGTGTTGGCTCGGGTGTAGCGGACGTCTCACCGCTCTTGGCATTCAAGTTCACATCCACACTAAATATACAGTCTGTGTCTTCCCTGGGATATCCGAGATGAAACAGGGAGTGTGTCTGTTGTGAATCGTTACGTTAGTTTCGTGTAGTTGACCATATATATATATATATAGTAGAACTGGCTAGTGTGTGTCTTTGAGGCCGATTGATCTGGTACTTGCGGTGATAGTAGTACCCCAGTTGTTCAAGGTTTCACGTTCGCTGGAGGTGATTAAACTGTGCGCAAAGCCTTTAAGGTCAGGCAGCTGTACGGGTCTCCTTCAACCGGATACTGAAAGTGTAGGAGAAACATACACACACTATGCCCCAATTATTAGGCGTTTTTTTGCGGCACCCTCGGGAGTTATAAATTCCAGAAATTTGGACAAGCAAACGTGGATACCGCACCAGACAAAGGAATACCACATTCTGAGTATACAAACCAAACTATTACATAATATTAGCCCTGATATTCTCTCAACAGACCACCGCAAATGGTTTAATTGACACGCAAATTAAATTGCGTGCATGATGTGACCTAATTCGTGCGATATGCCACATCCCAGGCACACCATCAAGGCTTTATACGATTCTGCTATTTTGTATTATATTTCCAAATTGCTGAAAGCAGCTCCATATATATATATATATATATACAAACGCTGCAAAGGCTTTAGACAGAAAACGCCCATCCGCGTGTACACCACTTGAGAGTGATCAGCTGAATAGACATACCCTCCATCGGCCTCTGTGATCTCGGCAAAGCACAGGAATTGGCCCTGTGCGTATTGCAGATTCATCGCCAGAAGCTTCGCATGCACATCCGCATTCTCGAAGGCGACGCTATTCCCGGCTGGTTCTGTGTGGTGAAGCAACGATGTTGTGAGGATGTGAGGAGAATATATGCGAATCTCGAGCAAACGACGATACATATGCTTAGCAACGGTCGATAATAAGCTCAACGTGCGTGCATAGCAACAGTCGGTGTGAAGCCTGACGTAGTGAGTGATACAGATCAAGGCCCTAGGCAGACCTGTACGGTAGTCCTATGACTGTACTACTGCGATACGTACGAACACACACTGCCGGTAGAGCTATTTGGCACCTGCACAGAGGTAGATATATGAGTGGCTGTGTTGTGTGGAGGTATGTCCGTTCTCGTAGACTCTGGGTTGGATGACGGGAGAGCGATCTACCAGTTGGTTAAAAACCCAGTTATGTAGGTAGCGACTATGTTTATTATTTGTTGTGCATTGCCGATGGACCCATGCGTGTTGGGCAGCACTTTAGAGTGCTGAGGAAAAGCACGTGTCGAAACGCGGGGTATAATTTAGCCTCAAATGTATATTTAATACTCAGAATGCTATATGGTTCAATTTAGTATAGTGCAGTATAATTATCAGTATAAAAATAAGTATATTATATCGTATAATTCAGTATAATTATCAGTATAAAAATAAGTATAATTCAGTATAATACCTTAGCCTTCTAAATTGAACAATAATACTGTATAAATATCAGTACAAAATCCAGTAATATATATAGTATAATTCAGTACAATGTAGTATAATTATCAGTGTAAGACAAGTATAGTATATCGTATAATTCAGTATAATACCATAGCCTTCTAAATTGAAGAACAATATAGTATAAATATCAGTACAAAATCCAGGAATACATATAGTATAATTCAGTACAATGTATTATAATTATCAATATAATACTCTGTATATTATATAGTATAATTCGGTATAATGTAGTATAATTATCAATATAAAACTCATTACATTGTATACCGAGATATTCGCCATCTTCCATTGACCCAGAGCAGTTGTGTGAGGACTATGGACCAAATCAACCTCCATTCCAATACAATACAACAACAGGTATGACATAACAAACAAACAGTATAACCGAACGGCAAACCAGAACACATACAACATGCATGTATACAACCACTACCCACTGAGGGTAAAAGATCTCTCGAGAGTATCACCCACAAGCTCCCGTCGCAGTACTTACTGTGACGTTCACCCGAGAGCCATGATATATACCATCGACTACGCTATGCTTGCAACCCTTTGCGGTGGTACATGCCTGACTGTTACCGCCTTCGCGAGTGGTGTGCGGCCCTGCACCAGCACGGCTGGAGACTCTATATACACATACCATACCTTCACACACATACATATATACATACCATACCTTCACACACATATATATATATACATATAATACTTTCACACACATATATATACACATACCATACCTAACCACACACATATATACACATACCATACCTAAACACACACATATATACACATACCATACCTAAACACACACATATATACACATACCATACCTTCACAGACATATTTATACACATACCATACCCTCACACACATACCATACCTTCCCATACATATATATACACTTATCATACCTTCACACACATATATATATACATACCATACCTTCACACACACATATATATACATATAATACCTTCACCCACATATATATATACATACCATACCTTCACACACTCACATAGACACATACCATACCTTCACACACATATATATACACATAACATACCTTCACACATATATATATACACATAGCATACCTTCCCATGCATATATATACACATACCATACCTTCACACACATATATATACACATACCATACCTTCACACACACATATATACACATACCATACCTTCCCATACTTCTATATACACATACCATACCTTCACACACATATATATATACATACCATACCTTAACACACACATATATACATGTAATACCTTCACCCATATATGTATATACACATACCATACCCTCACACACACATATATACCCATACCATACCTTCCCATTCATATATATACACATACCATACCTTCACACACATATATATACACATACCATACCTTCACACACACATATATATACATACCATATCTTCACACACATATATATACATACCATACCGACCGGGGTGTCGTCTTGGGTAGTATCTGGGTGGTGTAGCCTGATATCTATACACTTGACTGTAGTTCGGATTTCATACGAATGCGCAATACGAACACGTACGCCATATTTGTATACACAAACAAACCCAATAAGTGGGCATGGCACGCATCCGAGACAGTGCAACTCAGACTATCACAACCCCTCAGAGCGTTAGCACACAATCTTGTATCGAACAGTTTACTTACTTAATGTCAAGTATATCTCTTCGCAACTCAGACTATCGCAACCCCTGGAAGCGTTACCATACAATCTTGTACCGAACAGTTTACTTACTTAATGTCAAGTATATCTCTTCGTCCGCTGCTGGCAAGTGCTTGTTCGCAGTCACCGCTGCTGCCGCACCTGCCTTCGGAGTGGTCCTAGATTTAATGCGTTTGGGCTTTAGCTCTGCGAGAGCTGTGGGTGCGTAATTGAACGAATGAGTAGTTTGAATTGCAAATATATATATATATATATATATATATATCATCATTAATTGCATATATCATCAGGGATGTAAGAATTATGGTGGAGTGCAAAGCCTGTCCTCCTACACTGGGAGCCCCCCCCTGGTGGAGTGATCCATCAGGAAGGCTCTTACATCCTTTCGGATCGTGGGCAAATTTATAGAGGAATAAAGATAGATGAAGATAAGGTGGTTAAAATTAGGGGAGTATATTTTTACGAAAAAACGAGCAATCTATAAGAGAGAAAAAAACCAAAAAGGTGGGGATAAATCTAAGTCTCTGAAAAAGCGCTAGGGTGGTAGTCATGGCTACGATCCCCGGGAGGATGTAAGGTCCCCCCCCGGGACCTACGATCCGCCCCCCTCCCCCTTAAGACACTCATAAATGAGATACACACAGTACACTACAGGATAGTCTGTAACAAAACTATTCGAACCTCACATGCTCATGATCTCTGGCCGCAGACACACCTTCTGTGATGACTTGTTGACAGTTTTCTAAACTCTCCTCGTCCATTAGCTCGATCTGATTCTCTGTCTTGGAACCATCGCTTAGCAACCACACACCAAACGTGAGATCGCTATACAAGTCGTACTCACCGTCGTCGTCACTGGACTGATCCCCAGCGTCCCCCATCTACAGGTGATTCAGAATTCAACGTGACAACGAATAGCTCGATGATGAGTGTGCTGATTATTTTATTTATTTTGGGTCGAGAATGGCACACAGGCGCGCGCAATCAGCGGACTACGTACACCTGACATTAATATGAAACACGGTTGTTAGTTGAACCGGTACATTTCATAGCTCAAAATTGGGGTTAAAAAGACGGGACCGTGTTGTACATTTTCAAGCCTGAATCAGATTTACTATTCTGATCTTCTACCCTACAATGTGCTACGCAAAAACGCACACACACACACACACACACATATATATATATATATACATATATTTATATATATATATAATATATAATATATATATATTGATATATATATATATATATAATACATACATATATATATATATATATATATGTCACCGGATATGTAAAACCAGGCACTGACATTTGTATGCTCATATCCACGTCAATATGCACAAGCAATAAACTATAACAAAAGAAATACATCTACTCGCACACAAGAAGTATGCGATAAGAACTCAGTTTGTGGTCCCACAAATCGCCTCACCGAACTATACACTGTCGTACGAGCACAATATTATATTCACCGACACCTTTGTATAGCACTTGCCCATGTCAGTGCACATCACAGTATCCCTGACAACCTGTGCCTCCTAAACCCTGAACCCTAAAAAAAACTCAAGTACCATTTCCAAAGCAGAACAATCCATGCAGGTATTAGACCAACAGGTGCTCATGTATACATACCTGCGCTTCCCATTGCCGCATTAGGTTCTGTGCAAACTCGCTTGTTTCATCCAACACCACGTTCTCTTCTTCTTCTGCATCATCATCTTCATCATCGTTCGCACTCGCATCAACGTCGCCTGTGTTCTCCTTCCTCCTTTTGACAGCCTTTGAGTCCTCATCTCCGGTCCGTGACCTTTTCTTGGTGCTGTTAAAATATGGGGCAGATTCAAAGTGCTCGGTTGATTAATTTTGGTGTGCGTTTATATAATTATAGCAAGCTCCATATTTAGATAACTACGATATATATATATATATATATATACTTATATATATATACATATATATATATAGTTATATATATATAATATAATATAT